AGACAATCTCTGGTGTTCCTCGTTGAGCAACTAGAAAGCAGCTCTGTCTAAAACCTTTGCTCCAACTTATACCTCTGCCCACCTAAAAAGGTAAAAGAATATTTACTTAGTTCTTCCTTTTTATCTGTCTTCTCTCCCCTTAAAAAAACAAAGAAAGGTTTGCTGCTGGCATTTTATTGAGGGAGACAACAGACACAGTAGGTTTGGAACCCTGGATACTTTGAACAATTCAAGTTCTGAGGCTTTTGTCCTGAGTTGTCAAGTTGTGGCTAATTCCCATCCACCATCAGCAGACCAGCTTTTGGGGACTATTATGCTCTATCCTTGGACAACCTAGTGGTCCAGGTAGCTTGTGGATAGTGGAGGGCGACCTGCTGTCCCAGTTTTAGCTCTGAAAGTTTTGTGTTCCAGGGAACCCTGGGTCTGGACAGACAGAAAGCTGGATGTTGGTGGTTTGTAGCAGTTGAGGGAGGATGAGAAGCCGCTTAAAGATGAGAGACAAGGTGCTTTGGGGTGTTCTATGTCTGCATTTGAATCCTGTCTCCACCACCACCTTTACCCTGTTTGTCACCTTCAGTAGATCACTTCATCTCCCTGACCTGTGGGGAGCTGTGTAAAAGCTGAAATGTTTCTCTTAGAGCCAAGTGCTTGGCTTCTGCCTCGCCATTTACGGCCCCCTCTGGTGTTACTCATCAGAAGCGGAGAGAGTGAGGTCTGTGTGCCAGGACAGAGCTGGGTGCTGGAGATGCAGACCTAAGGCTCCGGGTTCCCACTGTCCCTGCCCTCAGAGCATAGTGCCAGCTGCGTCACTGTGCAGCAGTGGTCCTCCAGGACTTTCTGCCCAGCCAGGGAGGCTACATTCTGTGCTCTGGTAACTCGAGAGCAGCCTCTCTTCCGAGGAGATAGCAGGCCAAGCCTCCTAAAGACAGCCTTTCAGCCTGGAAGAATCAGCTCTTGAACTGTCAGATTCTGAAAGCTGGGAGCCCTGTTCTCTTAAGTCTCCTTTCCCCATTTGGAGTCCCAGTTCTGCCCCTTACATGGAGTGTAACCTCGAGCAAAGCACCACTTCTTTTTGGGCCTGAGTTTATCTGTAAAATAAAGATCTTAGTGATTCCCACCTCCTGAGTTATTAGGAAGCTTCAGTGAGGTCGTTCCTGTTAAGCATCTGGCGGAGGGTCTGCTATGTAGTAAACAACAAATGGAAGGAATGAAATGATTCCATTTTCCACGTGGCCCTGAGGGTGTTGGGGCCAGCTCCTCTCTACTCTTTGCCCAGACGCCAAGCCCCTCAGATGGAGGAGCCACATCTCCTTATATTTGTCTCTATGTCCACACCCAGCCCCTGCCTGGTAAATAGTACCTGCTTGATAGTGTTAGTTTATGAGCTGCTGCTGCCGCTGAAAGGACCTATCTTCCAGGATTAATAAGGGTAAGATAAGAAAATGTATTTGCAAGCACACCTGTAAGTTGAAAGTCTTAACACTCAGTATGTCCCTCCACTAAGATGTTTATCGTAGTGCATTGTTCATTAGTTGTTCAGTATCTTCTCTGCTCACTAGTCTGTGCACTTCTCCAAAGCAGAGGCTACATCTTCCCTCCAAATCCCCACTCCCAACACCCGTACAGTGCCCTGCTCCCAGTAGATGCCGCCCAGGTGGTTTAATTGAATGCACATGACGTACGCATGTAAGGAATTGGGAAACTGTTAGAGGAGGAAGAGAGGGCTGGTGCACACACACTGGTTCTTCTTTCCTTCCTGGTGCTACCTCTGCGTAAGCAGACACTCAACTACTCCTAAAAACTTCCTCCCAGGGGAATGAGGAGATTGAGGGAGGGAAAAGGAGGAGGGGCAGGAATAACAGTTTGATCATCATCAGAGCGCCTGCCTCCCGAAGCTAGCACGGAGGCACAGCTTCCCAAGCGCCTGGTTGGAATTAATGTGATCAACCTGTAACTTTGATCTTACCTTTCCGATCCTTATGAGCCAAAAACTGTTGGCCTGCTCTGGGTGCACTGGCTGCAGAGTCACGCCCCCTTGGTAGAGATTAGGGTTCCTCTCCCATGAATGGGCAGTTGGGGCCAGGATTTTGAGGTTCTGGGCTTGGATGGGTAATATGCGAGGGTTAAGAAGTACCTAAGTGAAATCCTTTGTGCTCTGACTCCCCAGAGGGTCTTCTGTCAGAAGCTTTTCTTTCCATCCTCATTGGCTTAAATGAGGATGCCAGTGTGCAAGGTCACTGACACAGCAGCCACTGATGGTGCTGAGAAGGGGCGCATGCAAAGTCATGTTCTAAGATTGGCTCTTGGAAGTCCCTCTTCTTGGGCTTGGGGAGAAGGCCTGGTTGATGGACCTCTGGAGAGGTGTGTTTAGGATAGGTCCAGTTCGCTGTGTCCCTGGCCGCCAGGTCTCTCTGGGATCTCCTTTCTCAGTTTGCTTAGAGCTGAGGCTAGCTGCTTCTTCGTCCCTGGAAGGGTACTACTGAGTGTGAGCACGGGTTAGCTCCATTTCCCTCAGGGTGAGGGAGCCAGCAGCAGGAGAGGTGGAAGAGCAAGCTGCGGTGGGGAAACCCAAAGGCCATTTTCAGAGAATCTACCGGGGATGCCGACTTGGTGCTGGTCAGAGCAGGAGCTGAAGCGCTTACTATTTTATAATAAATACTAATGAAATTCTAGATCTGTAATAACATTTCAGATATCTAAAACAAACCATGTGCTTGTAAAAAAGTGGAAAGAGATCAACTTTAAGCCATAAATTCTTGGTAATAGGGGTTTTTTTTCTATTTATGTTTGATAGATATTTTTGTTTCCAGAGGAATGTCAACTCCTAATTTCATAATGTATCATGGGCTTAAGAAAATTGAATTTAATAAAAGCCAGAGATGAATGGCATCCTTAAAGGTCCCAACACTTGTCTTTATTAGCAGGACAAACTGCAGGTCTCCAAACACTGCTTCTCTCCAAATGAAAGTTTAAATGAAAAGTACAGTTGTGTCACAGGTTCAATTTCATTGTGGGCCAAGCTAACATTGTTAGTGAGGAACTGGCTGTATTTGTTTCTTTAGACACCAGGGCAACCAAACTCACCAGGCTGTGGAGCTCCTTCTGGGGAAGTGCTGCTTCTCTGTAGCAGGAGAAGCAGGATACATCAGAAATTCGGGCATCCGGTGAGCCCCGCTTCAGAGGGAGTGCTTGGAAATCTTGGCTGTCTGGTTTTTCAGGGGGACCAGTATGTATTTTTGTGTATGTGTGCCTCCATTTTATTTTTCAGCACAAAACTGTCTTCTGCCAGTTCTGCTAAGGAGTGTTTTGTGAGGAGTGAGAAAGGCCCGGGGGACTGGGGGAGTCTCCTCGTCTCAAGTTGGGAGGAAAGGTATCACCTAACCTAAGCAAAAGCTGGGGCCTCCTTGCCATTGCCCCCTCTGCCTCAGCCTTGTTGCCCTTCCTATCTCAGGGGGCTCCTGTCAGCTTCCCCATTTGGGGGGATCAGCTGGGGAGGCCAAGCAAACAGAACCTCTGGGTTTTTCTGTCATGAAATCTCACTGCCTTGATTGGGTCTTCAGTCCTGCTTGAAGGTGTTGGGTAAAAATAGATGCTTTAAAAACAAGCCCAATAATCACAGGTGCGTTTGAGGGAGAGGCTGCCTGGCTGCCCTGTGACATTAAGGAGATTGGCCATTTCTCCCATCTTCCCACTCGTCCACGTCTTGCACATGGTCAGGTGTCAACAGCTTCCGTGCTGCTCCTCCAGGCAGTCCCTGGAGAGAACCAGTTTGCTTTGACTTTAGTGATACTAGAAAGATCCCCTCCAGAACTGGGAACCTGGGGTAGGGATGCCACTGGAGCTGACTACTGGGGGCACGGAGTGGGCAGAGCCCCCCTTCGCTCTCTGCAGTGGAAGCCTTTTCCACATACTAATTTTACTCGGAGGATTTTGCTTTTATTTATTTTTTTTATTATTTCCTATTTGTCTCTTCCAGATGTTTTCAGGGCAGTTTTTTTGTGTTGTAAACTAATTCCATTCATGTTTTAAAAATTTATGAAAGCGCTAATAAAAATGTCAAAGTGGTAAAAATGTTAGCTTTTCCTCTGCTTTGATTAAATTTTGCAAACTGTTTTTGAATATTAAAAAGCAATAATTTTTTTTATTCTCTCTCCTTGCTTTCCCTTTTCTCTCTGGTGCGTGTGTGCTCTCCTGCCCTCTCCCCCTCTGGTGCATTCCTCCCTTCCCAGGAGCGATGTGGGAGGCGTGCTGCACAGCCAGCGTTCTGCAAGCCTGTTTGCACACCAGGACCTTGGCGCTGTGCATCTCTATTAAATAACGGAGACAAATTAATCTTAGAGACACCAAACAAATTGTCACTCCTCCTCCTTCTCTTCCATTACGTTCCAGTGGACTGGGAAGGGCTGGCTAAGTGATTGGGGGGAGCAGGCTGGGGGAGGGTGTACTGCCTGAAAGAAAGGTGGGAAGCACTAGCTCCTATTACTCTTACTCAGTTTTCTGCTTCTCTTTAGTATCCCCTTTGGCTTTATTTATTATTTATCTTTTTTTTTTTTTTTTTTAAAAGAAGAAACTCATCGGTTCTGCTTAAACTTCAAATGCAGAAGGCTCTGATTGGTCTTATGGCTGGTTGTCTAGGTGACTGGAGATCCAGGCCCATCCAGGGCAGAGGCCTGGGCAAGTGGAAGCAGTGGGGCTACTTTTGTGGGCTCTGGTAAATAGGCCTCTGGCAGAGAACCAGTTGGGGAAACTGGGGCAGCTTGTACTACTGTCTTCTTTCCTCTTTCCAGAGACAGTGGCAGTGGGGTGTGTGTCTAGTCCCTGCCGCCTGTGAGGGTAGTGACAGTGGGAAGGTTAGGATGGAAACTGAGCTGGTGCCATTTCAGTCTTGGGTCTGTTCTGTCAGGCGTTCAGGAGTCCAAAACAGTCCCTCATTCTTGAGTTCCTTGAAATGGTTGGTTAAAAAAGTGTGTTCTTCTTTTTCTGTGTCTTTGCCATTCCAGGAAATCATCGAGTTCCCCATCCTGAAGCTAAATGGTCGGACCATGGAGATTGAGTCTACCTTTCACATGTATGTCCAGCCCGTAGTCCATCCACAGCTTACTCCCTTCTGTACAGAGGTAAGGGCCCTGGAGCGGGGCAGCCCGGGCTGCTGGGACAGGAGTTTTGGGTCACTGGTTCGCTGACCCTGCAGCTTAGGGGCAGCTTGAGTCTTACTGCTGGTTAAGGCAGGTGAGCATGGGACCCAGCCATCAGCTGGCATTTTACAAAGTCTGCCACTCCACTTGCACTGCTGTGGTCACTGGGGACCCAAGAAGTGGCACAATCTGTCCCGGCTTCCCCAGCCTTTTCCCTCCCTTATTGTCCCTACCCCTCCTGGTGACCAGCACTTGGAGTGCTGCCCCACTCGAGGGTGGTGCTTCCGGGGCTCAGTTTCTCTTCCGTTCCATTTCCCTTGGGGCCTCTTGACAAGAAGTAAAGATTTCAGCTTCTTGGAAGGAGAGGTTATGTTAAGGCTCTCTTAGCTTCTGGTGATGTTTTTCTGTCCTGGAGCAAAGTGGCCCTGCTTGAGTTTGTGGGAAGCACAACCCTATCGTTGAGGAAAGAGAAGGGTGGTCTAAGTGGTATATGAGGCTGAAATGGCCTTACCCTTATGCTGTGCTGGTATTGGACTCAGCCACTTTGCCAGCAGGTTAGTATTGGCCCCATTCTGCAGATTGTAAAACTGGGCTAACTTGAGATCTTGATGCTTGCTAGAGGCTTAAAAGAGCTAATAGCGGAGAGCAGGTGCCCCTGCAGAGTTCTTATTCTCAGGATCTTCTGTGACTGGTTTCCCCTGTGACATGGCATGTTTTGCACTGTGGTAGCCACAGGCTGTAGTGGAATCATGGGCCATGTATGTGTGGCAGCAGAAGTAATGGGAGAAACACTCATGTTTCTGGAATCTTTTTTTTTTTAAGAATTTGGGGCTGGGGTATATTCAAGATAGTGTGCCTTTGTTTAGAGATCTACTTTCTGCATATAAGTGAAACATGAGAAAAAAAGCTCTTGAGTGACCCTAAAACCATTGTCTTGGTGTGGGGAATGCTGGGAAAGGGCCTACCTGCCACTGATGGGAGGGCCCCACTGAGTCTGAGGTTGACTCAGCCCAGATACGGGGGTTGCTACTGGGCTTGATGCCAGTGTTTCACGCCCAACCCAGATAGGCCTTTTGGTGCAGGCATCCATCTCCCAAGGTGTGTAGTCTCTCACCCGCTTTGTTCCCACTAATGATTTTTGAGATTCTTGCTCCCTTGGAATCTGCTGTTTTTCCCCCCTTGTCCCCTGGAAATTACCTGTACCACCAGGGGGCGCTAATCTGTTCTTTTTGCCCCTTTTGGGAAAAAAAAGTCACCATTTTAATGGTGAAAATCCCCTTCCTTGTGGAAAGGGAAGATTTTCCTTAAGCAAGCCACTGGCCTGAAAATGCAATATCCTCTTGTCTTTCTCTTCCTCCTGTCTGTGTGCAGACTCCCCATGGGGGTTCCAGCTGCAGCTAGACTACCTGGCACAGCCGGGCAGGCCCAAATTTGGGAAAGGTTACTCTTGTTTTGGCATGAAACAGTGCTGTTGGAGCTCAGCCCTGGGCAGGAGTGGGTACCTGAGAGTATTGGGAAAAGGGATTTTTTTGAGATCAGGGCTGCTGCTGCTTCTTTTGGGGGGTAGAGGGAGGAGGGATTGTGAGACTATGATGAGAGCTATTCTTCTTTTTTCTGGAAAGCTTCACCCCAGGACACACATACATAATTTGGAGGGCAGGAGGCATGGTGAGGTTGGGACCCTTGTCCTGAAGCCTTATCTGAAAGTGAAGATGTGAGTGAGCTGTGGCACCAAGGGTGCGATTTCGCCTCACGCTTCTGGAGCCTCCAACTCTCCTTGACCTGGTCCTGGCCTTTTGTCCAGCCTCACATTTTCCTGCTTCATGCCCCGCATTTTGCTCACCTAAGGTCGCCCCCTCACCGTCTCCCTGTGCCTGTGATGCTCTTGCCGGTATGCTGCTCCCACTCTTGTCCTCCCCCTCCCCACCCCCAACATTTGTCCTCTAGGACTTTGCTCAGGGTCACCTTCTCTGGGGAGCCTTCCCTGAGCCCATGGCTAGTGCCACCACCCAAAGCCCTGAGCAGATGCATTATACTGTATTTACTTATGTGTCTCCCCACTAGACCGTGTGTTCCTTGAGGGCAGAACCTAGGTCTGATCTATCTCTGGCCCATCATTGGAGCCCGGTGCCAAGTAAGCACTTGACACGTGTTCCTTAAATGAGTGAATATTGTCAAAGAGTATTCAACCACACCTTGCTGCCCGCCACCCTGCCCCTGCCCCGAAGTAACTGTCCTGCTCACTCTGTCTTTTCGAGCAAGTGAAGTCTTCTTTGGAAAACCTCAGATCATCTAAATATTGCCCTGTTTCCATTCCAAATGGAGTTGGAATATAGAGAAAGGCATGGGCATAGGATGCAGGCTGACATTGTGCGACCTCGTCCTGTGTGGCAGTGGGCTGCCTTTGGGGCAGAGAGAGAGATCATCACGGTCAGAGAAGATCTTTCTTCAGTAAGGATTGTGCCTAAGCATCTCCTCCAGTAGGATTCCCTCTTGTGCACAAGAAGTTCTTAAGAACCCTGGCCTGTGTGTGTATGTGTGTGCACACACATCGTGACACATAAGTACACATATGAGCACATGCTTGTGTGGGGAGAGACAGGCTCAGTGCTGGGCAGCCAAGAAGAGGGATGCTGCCTTGAGTGGGTCTGTGACCCACATACAGACACTCTTACTGCTCTGTAATGGGCATGTGAGTAGCCTTCTTCACATCCTTTCTTCGTTCCAGTTCATAGTCTGACTTGTTTCTAACAGAGACAGGATGGGATAAGTTTCATTCCTTCCCAAGCCCTTTCTCTCCCACATCTAGAATCTGCTCCAACCTGTCAGATCTCTGCTTCTAGCAGCTGGGCTGCTGCCAGAGTCCCTGACCATGTGTAGTCTTTTTTGTTGTTGTTGTCATTGTCTTGGGGAAAAAAAAAAAACTAGAAAAAAATACCAATTTTGCTAAATGCCAGTAAAGGGCTTTGTCTTGCACCTGTACTTATAAAGGGTGAGATTTATTGGTCTCTTTGTCTGAGGAGAAAGAGTGGGTCTGATTATCAGATTGTACACCAGAGACAAGTGCTTATGTAATCAACAAACTGTCTTGGTGTCAGAATACGATTGTGTTGGAGATAAACTGTGAAAGGAGAAAGCGCTGGATGCTGACATGCTATTGGCATTGAGTGTCCTGGGCTGCTTCCTGTAGTGGCTAGTGTTTATGATGAAGCCAGCTCGTTCCCGGACAAAGCCCTTGTGAGGGTAGGGGATCTCAGTAACCAGTCCTGTTATCAGTCAGGGTCAAAAGCCCCTTGCCTTGTGGTTTCCGAGTCTGGAGAAGTGGGAGTTAATCTGTAATCCCTCGGTGAAAGGAGCCACAGAGCACACATTAATTCTTCCTCTCACCTCTCCAGCTTTAAGTGGTTAAGGTCTTTGAGCTCTGTTTAGCCTGTGAGCCCTGGTTCTCAGCTTAATAATACTTGGCTTTGCTCTAGTACCTTTCATTGTGAGGATGTAAAAGCTTTTTACAAATATATATTAACCCAAGTGGGATTGGGTTCAAACTGCAGCATGAAGGACTTAAGTTATGCCTAAGGTAGAACTTTCCAGTATTTATTAAATTTATTAAATTAGCTTTCATGGCTTCTGTTTTAAGTCTTAGAGATGTCTTAGGTTGTATCAGATACAGGGACTAATTTCTTAATTTCACACTCTTCTTCAACTAGTGCCTTGGTGGAGCCAGTAAGATGTAATCTGTCCTTGGAAGGCTTCATACAGGGGAGTGAGGGCTTCCCTGGAAGGGTGCCTTTAGCTGAACCAATAGTGCAAGCCCCTGTGTCTCTGGAGGTTGAATTCAAGCCCTTTAGGACATCAGCTATAAGCTGTGTCTGGCTGAACCACGAGTGGTCTAGGAAGCAGGGAGAGAGAGAGGGAGCTGGCCTCACTGGGCTTCTCCTAGGCTGATGATTCCAGGCTTGCTGACCGCTGGACAGGAGTGTGAGAAAGCCCCAGGACCCTGGAGCCCTACTGCCTACCACCAGGGTGGAAAAGGCGGGCCTAGTCTGTAGTGAGAGGTCGTGCAGAGCGGTGCCCTGGTTTTCCTTTATAGTGCAGTGACTTTCTCTCCCCACATTAGTGAGTTTCTGGGGGCCAAGAACAGGTGGAGTACATAGATGCTGACCCAAGACCCATCTCCAAGGAGGGAGGTCTCTTGACAAGGGTGCCATTGGTTTTTTCTGTGAGTGAGCCTTTCTGGAAACCCTTCAGTGCTCAGCTCATCTCAGTGACCCTGGGTATAAGGAGTCAAAAGAAATGGTAGACCTAACCTTACCCCAGAAGACTCAGATGAGACATGGGAATGGCACACAGACCCCAGAGCTTTCTAAGAAGCACGAGTGGCTATAGGTTTTCCAGGATAGTCCTTATCCAAGTCTTAGCTCCAAGCTTGGGGGTATGGCTTGGTCCTGGAAGAATGAAGCAGGAGAGAAGTGGGGCCAGGAAGAGCAGTGGTGGGTGCTTGTTAGTCACCTGGGTAGTGCACCTGGAGTCAGCAACAAGCCCACTCTGGACTCTGGCCTCTGTGTGCCTGAGACAAAACACAGGGCTGCTGCCTGCTCAGGGTGTGCTCTGGAAGGTGTGCAGGCTCTGGGTGCTGGCAGGGCTGGGCCTAGAAGGGGCTGCCAAGAAGAATGCAGATTCCGTGAGGGCAGGGATTTCAGTTTTTCCTCACGGCTGGATCCCTGGTTCCTGGAATGGGGCCCAGTACATCGTAGGCTGTCCATGAGTAGTTGTTGACTAAATGAAAGGAGGAGTGTTAGCTCTCGAAGATTAAAGCTGCTGACCCAGAGGTCTTCCTCACCCCTCACCCCCCAGCCCCACCCCTAGCCCTCAGTGGACCAACTTTCCTTCTCTTTGGCTCAGGCCCTCCCTCTGCTGGGCAGTTCTTCGGTCTCCCAAGCAAGGAAAGGGTGTGGAGGGGCCAGCCGGGCGGGCCTGCTGTGGGTTAAAGCCTTGCGAAACAACAGTGTAGTTAATCTTTCTAATTTATTTTCCTTTTAGACCATGGGAAGTCTGTAGGCAGCAGCTGTTACCCAATTAAAATACAGATTAATATAAAAACAGTTTCTGGAATATAAAATAGAGTGGCTGTGTCCTTACACTTCCTTAAAATACCACCTAATAATGACTTGATGAACTACAGAAACCCACCTAGAGGAACTCAGCGTTCTTAAAATGAAAATTTCTTCCCTAAAAGGTGTGTATTACCATTCCGTGTAAGTCGCTATGAGAAAATAACCTTCCTTCTTAGAGCCAGCGGTTCCTGTGAGTTGGGTATTTGATATTCATTAAATGTAATTATAGTTTAATTGGAGTTTAATCCCCCCCCCAACACTTTAAAAAAAGGAAGAAGAAGAAGTTCCCCAGCAAGCCTGAGATGCAGCTCTCTGTAGAAGTAGCCCCGGGCACATTGGGCATGGTGATTTCCAGCAAGGTCCAGGTCTGTGGATAGGGGCCTCCTGCCTCAGATCCCTGAGGCAGTCTGTCTTCCTCTGTGTTTGAAGGATATTTTCACTTTAAAACAAAACAAAGCAAAGCAACAAGCCTCTTTGAACCTAGGTCTGACGTGGGTGGAGCATAGACCTGTGAGTCAGAAATTCTCTAGACCAGGTTCCTTTATTAGGCCTTTGCATCTGTGTTTCCCTGTCAGTTAAAGATGTCTACTTCTTGCTTGCCTGGTTGGTATCGAGGACCCAGGTGTTCAGGGTAAAGGGTAGATGCCTGTGGGGTTCCCCCGGTTCTTCTCTGATGTTGGGAAAATGCTGGATATTGAGACCCAGAGAAGGGGGGTGGACTTGAACCCAGGTGTGGCTGTCCTGTGTCAGCATTCCTCAAGGTCTACAAGATCTTCTGTGAAGCTTGGAGGTAAATGTATTTTAGATTATAATTTGTAGGGATTTATTGGAGTTTATTGAATACAAGACACATAAAATCTTTTTCCTTTTTTTTTTTTTTTTTTTTTCTTTTCAAAGTGAAAGCTGAAATAGCTACGAAACATACCCTGTGGTCAGCATGGATGTGTTTCCCCCTCTTGGGGCAGGATGTTGTGGAGAAAGTTCACCTTATGTCCTGGGACTATATTCCCAAGGCCTCTGGCAGGTTCTGAGCCAAAAGCAGTGCAGGCCAGTCTTTTATGGCAGAAGGAGAAAGGAGAGGATCCAGTCCGGCTTTGAGACCCTGTGTCCTGCTGTTCCACCTATTGGCTATTTCTCTTTCCTTTCAGCTCACTGGGATTATTCAAGCCATGGTGGATGGTCAGCCGAGCCTGCAGCAAGTGCTGGAGGTAGGTTGAGTGACCTTTAATTCCTGACCTCTGACCCTTTCCTGCTGCCTTTCTCTCCCTCCCCTCCTGAGAATGTAGCCGTGTAATTTGACTATGATTATGGCTTGATTAGAATAACATTTGCTGTCACATCAGTGACATGCTGTTGAGAGTATTGAACCATTGATCTGTCATCTCCAGCTGTTCCCGTCAGGGTTACTGGCAAGATGTCCGAGTGCTGCCCCGAGTTCCACACGGGGCCTCCACCCCCTCCTGGCCCCTGGCCCTGGGCTGGGCAGCACGGGCGGCCGGCGCTAGGCGCATCGGGGAGGAGGGGAGCCGAGCCGTGGCACCGCAGGACTAGCCCTGGAGACTGAAGGTGTTTTTGTTTAGCTTTAGTGTTGGCTTCTTGTGGCATGTGAGCACTTCATTAACTCACCCAGAACTCCCCATCGATGGCTTTTGTTTGCTGTCAGCTCCTCCAGGAGGTGCGGCTGGGCCCGCCTGCCCCACTGCAGCTTGCCGCTGGATGCACTGTGCCTGTCAGGGGTGCAGAGGCTGCACTGGGTAATGGTTCCTAATCAGAATAATTACAACAATTGCCTATGTGAGGGAAATCAAATTAAAGGCTTTAGAACCCTTGGCAGAGACCACACTTCTAGGATGTTCTCCTCAGGGAGCTGGAAAAGGTTAAGATGCTGCTGTTTGTGCTCCAGCCTGAGGGAATAAGCGAGGGCTGTGCTTGGCCTCAGCTTTTCTCCCACCCCTTCTGGCCTCGGGGAGGGAGAAGGTCCCTTCCCCACCCCTCCTCTCTAGGGGGAGGGGAGAAGAGAAAAAGCCCATGGATCTCATTAGGTGCTTTATTTATCTTTAAGACCAGTAAACCCAAAGCTCAGCCCCTATCGAAGCACAGGAGGAAGCAGAGTTGGGGGTGGGTAGCAGGGCACGTCTACAGTGGAGGTAGTCAGCCTAGAGGAAGTTGGGGGGTAGCCTGGGGGAGGGAAGAAGATCTAGAGGCCCTGTCCCATGGGAGAGAGAAATGCAGACTGAATTTCCTGGGACTCCTCAGGATGGAGTGGGGTTTAGGCCCACCCGGTGGCAGGTATGCTCCCTGTCCCTGGGAGTGTACAAGCCTGGGTTCTCTGATCAGTCAAGCTCTGGGTCGGGTCAGTGTTAGGGTATCTGCAGTAGGTTGGGAGAAGAGAAGATGAACTGTGAGGTGTCTCACAGCCCCACTGACCCTCTTTTTTTGAGGGGAGATTGGCTCCTATGATTGAGGGGGCACCTCAGCATCGATGCTCCCTATAAGACCAGACTCAAGGAGAAAGAGGGGACCAACCCATCCTTTCCTATGTCCCAGCCAGGGCCTAGCTTCTGAGGGAGGCCACACGCTATTTCCTGGAATGTCTCCGGCCAGGATCCTAGAAGGAAGACGTCCAGCATCAAACCAGAGCTATTGAGGTTATGGGATTTTTTTTTTTTCCCCTCAGTGGTGCTGGTTGAGGGAGCTATGGTCTTTAGGAGGCTTCCTCCTGCTAATCTCAGGTTAGCCTGGAGCAGAATGCTGGGGGGATTCTGAGTCTTATCCATGAGGCTACTTTCTGCTACTTCAGCATACTTTGTGGGTGAAAAGGGAAGACACCTGGCATCAGCCTGAATAGGGAGTCTCTGGCCAGGAGACCACAATGGGCTCTGCTTTGTCTCATTAGCCCTGAGTTGGTCAAATAGCTAAAAAGCTGACTTCTTGTCCTAACCAAGGCTCTGAGCGGGTGGTCAGCTAGATGTTTGTCTGACTAGTTTGGTTCAGGTAGGACTCATGCTAGACCTTCAGTAGCTGGGAGGGTGGCCACAGTTCATTGGGGATTGTCTTGGTAATTCCTTTAACTCTTCGTCCATTTAAGCAGAGAAGGGAAGGAAAAAAACAGGCTTTATTCCAAATATAGTACCACTTCCCTGGACAACTCACCCTAAAAGGTTCTCACTAAACATCTGTTGTACCAGTGAATGGGCTGGGTCTAAGCTTCCAAGGAATAACCCCATGGAATAGTAAGTGCTTCTCATGGGGAAGGTCCTGCTGGGCACTGGCTCCTGACAATCCTGTCTTGCTATCTTTTCCAAGACCACTGTGTAGGAGTTGGGGCATTGGGAGCCCCCCCTAGCAGATAGGGCACTTAGCTTGGGGATATAAGGCCAGTGAGCTAGAGCAAGGTTGGATGACACAGGCAGCCCTAGGATTGCCTTACTTCTTTTCTTACATAAAGTCGTGGGAAAGGATACATGAATGTGAATGTGTCCATGTCCTCTGTGCAAGTAGGCCATGGAGGCTGGGGAAATAAGCCATTCAGCAGTGGAAGTTCCAGAATTTAGCTTGCTGGGGAGACTCTTCGGCTGAGGGCAATTCTTTGGTGTGCAGACCGTGAGGAGGGTCTTTGGTGTGCAGACCGTGAGGAGGGTTTGGCTCAAGGAGCAGCTCTGACCCCCTGAGAGGTAGGACCACTCTAGCCAGAGAGTGACCTAGGACCTTTGGCCCTACTCAAAGACTGCTTTGGCGTGGACCAGGCCTCCAGTATCTCTGAGATGTCCCAGGGAGCCAGCCTACACCTGCTAAGAGTTAGCTTCCTTCACGATTTCAGTGGGCTCTCCATGACCCACTGGAGTCTTCACAGTATGGCCCATGTATCCCCCAGTGTCATTTCCTGTCCTTCCTTTCTACACACTGGACTTCGGTCACACTATTCCCTACTCATGTTTTAGTGAATCAGCAGGAATCTGTTGAGAGGACCCTGCTGGGTTAAGGATTTACACAGTGAATAAGATGAATGAAAGTCCCTGCTTCACGGTGCTTCTAGTCTCTTGGGGGAAGCAGATACTGAGCACACAATTGCTTCTCAATACAAAATGATTGCGCCTGTGCTTTCCTTTGCTCTGCTCCACCCTGTCATGCAAACCCAGCCACCAGGTCCCCTAGTTGGGAGTGGCGTCTTTGTGAAGCCTTCCTTTCTGACTCCTTTCTCTGTCAAAGGTAGAGCTGGTCACCTCCTCCTCTTGGTCCTACAGCATTCTGGTCGCTTCTCCGTGGCTGCATCTATTTTATTGTATTTAGATGATTTGCCTTTCTCGCCTTCTCAGCCTACTGTCTATTTTGTGGTAGGCACTTAATACATTATTACATTTAATTCTCAAAACAACCCCGTAAGGTTAGTCATGCTACCTCGTTTTATAGATGAAGGAAGCTGAAGTTCACAGAGGTTAAATGACTTTTAAATGACTTCCCATCAGTGACACAGCCAGGATATGGAAGAGCCAAGGTTAGCACCCAGATGTGTCTGACTTTCAATCCTGCATTTGTAGCAACTTTGCAATGTAGCCTTTAAAAACGAATCCTTCTGTGTGAGTGGCACGGTGGTCATCTGCTGTACTCCCACCCCATGCCTGGATCTTCTGAAAAATAGGCAATGCTTCAGGAGCGCTTTATGATAATTCTCTCAGTATATACTGATTTTAGTATCTGTACTTTCCATGTGAGTGCAAATACTGAAACTGATTAAAGGGATGAAGGGAAAGAAATACTTAAAGTGTGTTTAGGAGCAGTTTTTATCCCTGTCTAGGCATTGAGCTCAGCTTTGAAAAGATTCTCCTGAATCTGGATTTGAATCCTCTACCAGGAGAGGGGAAACGTAAAGTCTGGGGCCAGTTTATGAGCTTTCAAGAGACTGAAGTGGGCAGTGCCACCCCAGGGATCAAGGTGGAATTCCAGCCCAGCAAGGGAGCTTTTTCTGCTAGACTCACAGTGAAGATTAACTTCATCCTCATTTGGGAAATTCATAAATTTGGTTAATAAGCCTTTGGTGGGAGGGTGAAATGAACAGGAATGAATGAACCTGTGGATTGGAGTCCCTGCCTGGGGCCTCCTTCCCGCCTGTCCTCATGGCCCAGGGCATCCTGTGCCTGTGCTAGGCTTTGCTTTTGAGGACCGACTTACCGGGATATGTCCTTATCCCGTCTGGGGTTAGGTTGCCAGGCATCGGGGCAGTGGAGGGGCTCCCTTCCCCCACTCATTGAGGTTTGTGGCTCTTCCCTGTAGGGATCACCCTTCCGCTGCCCCCACAGCCCTGAGCCAAGGCTGAGAGCCCAGAGCAGACCCATGGCCGGATAAGATTACATTTTTCTTCTGCTCTGATTACAAGCAGCTTATCTGCGTTTCTTTGGTGTGGCTCTTCACAGACTTGGGAAGAAAAAAAAAGGAAAATCTCATCTGTTCTTGTTGTGTACTTTTCAGAGGGTCGATGAGTGGATGGCGAAAGAAGGCCTCTTAGATCCAAACGTCAAGTCAATTTTTGTCACCTGTGGAGACTGGGACTTGAAAGTCATGTGAGTATGAGAAGGACTGCTTTACTGGCAGGGCTTGGAAACTATGGGACCAGGTCATGCCTTTCGCAGGCCAACACGTCCAAGCCTACAGGGCAGCTGGCTCAGCGAGTCCCTGGATCTTTGGGGCTGCCACGGTGTGAAGAGGGCTGGGAACCCCGCCTTCTGACTCTGGAGCTGGGAGTAGACCAATCAAGGACCCTACTAGGACTGCAGTTGTCTGGACCTTCCTGCCTTTGCCAGGTCCCACTGCTCAGGACAGCCCTTCCAGTTGTGGGGCTCCGTGTTACTGCCCTGGAAGGAAGGAATTAAAAGAAGATCCTTTTTTTTTTTCTACCAAATGTATAGTGTTTACTACCGTTAATGCTTTAGAAATAGTCATTTGTTTAATAAACCTTGGTACTTTAATTCCTGTTTTATAGATAAGGGAATTAAGGCACAGAGAGGTTAAGTAACTTGCCCAAGAACACACAGAGCCAGGATTCAAACCCAGGCAACCTGGCTCCAGGATCCTGTCTCTTAACCATTCTGCTGTGCCACCCTTTTATCTGGGGTACAAGGCCCTGATGATTCAACTGCAGGCCCATTGGTGGGATGAGAGAGGGCTGCTTCTAGGGAGCTACCCAGTCCCCAGCCTCCTTGTCCCTCCTTTGTCCGCACTGCTTTTTCTCCTTTGTCTCCGGGTCTTGCCCTGGTCATAGAAGACAGAACTGGTTCCGTTGCTGGGTTGACACTTTTGCCTCTTGTCTGTCCTCATGGATACCTGGCTTCAGACAGCTCCCAGGGAGCTAAAGCGGGGTGGAGGTGGTGGGGGCACTGTTTGCTGAGGATTGATAGAATCGATACCTCTGTGTTCTTTGTGACCAAAGGCAGCTGCAGGCATTCTGGGGAGAGTGTGTGTGTGTGTGTGTGTGTGTGTGTGTGTGTGTGTGTGTGTGCGTGTGCACGTGCGTGCACACTTGTGCGCATAGTTAGGGTGTTGGTGGGGGGTGAGGAATAGTGGCTCTGGAGTGACATTTCCTACCAAATTAGGTATGATCTTCTCACCAAGGTCCTTTTTTATGCCTTTGGATGCTGGGTTTTGAGGTGAAGTTACACACTCTGGTGGATATCAAGCCTGCTGCTGGACACCAACTTGAGATAGGAGGAGAAGCAAATCCAAAGCACATAAACACCTACGCACCTCATGTCCACACTGACTGGGTACCTCTAGGTGTATGCACCGGACTCCCAGAGCTCCAGAGGATTTGTGTTCCCAGACGACACTCATGGGGCAGAGAAATGACAGAGGCTGGATCTGGAAGCGGATATGAATCAGGGGGAGGGTTCTGTGGGGAAGATGAGGAGGAAGAAGGCTCTTGCTCTTATTTATGGCATCTGGGCCGCTCTGAGTGCCTGAAGCAGAGAAGGGATTTAGGTGGAGCTCCGTAGCCTAAGAGAAGTTGTTTGGGGTGGGCACGGTTCAGGCCATACCCAGCATCTGGGGCTCATGTAACCCAGTCCAGAGGCCCAGTTTCTCCAGATAGCTTCCCAGGACTCCCACTCTTCCAGGTGGATTTTGTCCTTTGGTGTATTTATATCCCAGACACCCATATTCCAGAATCTTCTGCATTAACTGGGAATGGCATGTACGTGTGTGTGTATGAAAACATCCCTGTGCATCCCTGTGGGGACTGTCTGGCCAGGTCTCCTCAGTTGGTTTCTCCATGAGACAAAGAAGGAATTTCAGAGGGTGTTCTCTTTGGGTCTGGCCATTCTGACCTGTAGCACCAGATCAGATTTATTTTAGAGAGAGAAAGAGACAGCATGAGTTGGCGTTGGGGAATGGGGGGGCGGGCAGCAGACTACACACTGAACACAGAGCCTGAGATGGGGCTCCATCCCAGGACCCTGAGATCATGACCTGAGCCAAAACCAAGAGTCAGTTGCTTAATCAATTGTACCACCCAGCCACACTGAAACCAAATTTTAATGAGCATGTACCATATTTCATTCAGTCCTCCTAGTTATATTCCCTTTTATAGAGGGAAAAAACAAAACAGAATTCGAAACCGAGGCCTAAACTGGTAGACTCGTAGCTAGACAAAATTGAATTCTAAGACCATGTTGCTTCTAAAAGAGAGGGATTGGGCAGACTTTGGTAGCTGGTTTGGGTTTGTATTGAAAAGACCAGTGAAGCTCTGAAAAAGAATATGCAGGAACGAAGCAGATGTCAGGTGGTGGGGGCTGGGGGAGGAGAGCTTTGTGGCTGCCTTTTAGAAGCAGGACTCCACATAACTGCTGGGAAGGCTCTTAATTAAATGTGTAACAAAATAAAAACAGCCAGAGAGGAAACCTAAGTAGTGTTTCGTGACAGTGCACAGCTTATCGGTGTTCCTGGAACCTCTCATCAGATGGCTCTCGTCAGAGCCATCACCTTTTTATGCGCCCGGTAAAGGCTGCTGAGGAACCTGACAAGGGTGGTGGTAAATTGACACCCGCAACTTGTTAGTATGGGGCTCGCTTCTTATTCTGACATCCATTTTCAGATTTAACTAAGTCTAAGGAATTCAGCAAATATTTTCATTTCCCACTCTAGTTTCCCGGGGCCATGGCTTTTTCTCATTGCTGCTCTTCCCCTCTCTCCCAACACCCACCCCCAGCCAGCTTCCCATCACTTTTGTTGGAAAGGGCCTGATTAGTGAAGCACTGAGAAATGGGAACTGAAGTGGCAGCAGAAATCCCACTGGAGAAAAGAAATCTGCTCCGGTCCCGACAGAATCATTTTGTGTCCATCTTTTGTCAAAGCCAGATGAGTTGATACTCTGTGGGCTTTTGATGCTGTAGTCACAGATCCTGCCGAGGTGGGTTTTAATTTAGTGGGCACGGATTTAATTTTCCTTTTCAACTTGTTTAAGAAATGACACTTGTTATGGCTTTGGCCCTTGGTCAGCTTCCTCCCCTACCTGACCCACCTTTCTTTTGCCTTACCTCATGGTTCTTAAAGCTCTTCATGGCGTTTAGTATTCTTTTTCCAATTTTCTCTCTTCTCTGCCTACCCAGGCAGGGAATGTCTCTGTAAAGGGGTTCCATCTTTGACATGGCAGCAGAGATCCTGCTGGGGAAAAGCAGTCTGCCTTATCTGCCAGCTGAACTCCAAGCTTTGATATCCAACTACCTATTCTGTATCTCTACCTGAATGCCACAGGCCCCTTAAAGTTCAGGTGTCCTCCTTCTCCCAACACTTCATCCTCCAACTTGCTCTCAAGTTGTGACTGGAACCTCTGTCTGGTAGTTCTGTCAGAAACCCGAGACTCATCCTTGATGCCTCTTCTCTAGCCACAGCCAATTAACTGCCAAATCTTGTTGATTCTTCCTGCCAGAGATTTCTCAGAGCCTTTGTCTTCTTTCCATTCCCACTACGGCTGCCAGTAGTTCAGGTCACCAGGTGCTGCCTTTTTTTTTTTTTTAAAGATTGATTTATTTATTTGAGAGAGTGAGAGTGCAAGGGAGAGGGGCAGAGGGAGAAGAAGAGAATCTCAAACAGACTCTGTGAAGCATGGAGCCTGACACAGGGCTCGATTCCACAGCCCTGAGATCACAACCTGAGCCAAAACTAAGAGTCAGACTCTCAACCGACTGAGCCAACCAGGTGCCCCTTAGGTCAACATATTCTTCTTGGATTACAAAAGTCTTCTAAGTCGTCTCTCTGACTCTAGTTTTACCTCCTTGCCATTCTGACTATAGCAAATTATGTCACATACCCGCAAAACACTCTCAAGGCTTCCTCTTGCCCTCAAGGCAAAGTCATGTTGCTTAATGAGGCCCTTGTCTACTTCTCGAACCTCATCTTCATAACTTTCTGTGCACCCTCCACCCCCAACCCCCGCCAGATGCTCTAGCTGGCCAGTTCCTCATGATCCTTCAGAACATCAATTTCTAGGTGCCTTCCTGTGTGTTTCTGGAGCACATGTACTTATACATGAAATTGTATTGTGTCTGCCTCTACTTGTCTGTCCCTCTCACTAGACTGTGGGCACCATTATAATCTTGAACAATGTTTGGTATGTAGTAGTTGTTCAATAAATGTATGTTGAATAAATGACAGCTCAGGAATGGAGTGAGCCTGTGGAATCTGTACTCAGGAAGAATGACAGAGGATCAATGGAAGGTAGATTCAGGGAGAATGGAACAGAAGAGGAAATCTTGGGCCTTCCTGCACCAAGCTGAGTATGAGGGGTTGGAGAACTATGCTGCTAATGCCAGGAAGCTCCTGGATTTCCTCACTGCCAACACAGGGTGTTGGGTCTTCCTTCCATGGTGGGTACTGGGTGAGATGGCCTACAAGCCTGGGCCATGGAGGAATTTGGTCCTAGGAGCTGGCCGAAGGGCTCTCTGAGAGTTTGTGCCTTCTAAGACTGAGGGCTGGGATTGCTCTGGAGACATTTACATTAGATAATAAAGATAGCCAGCATGTATCAGGCATGTATTATATACCAGGAGTCCTGCTGTTCTATTTACACATTATCCCACTTAATTCTACCACAGTCCTATGAAATAAATTCATTTTATAATTTTTTTTTTTTTTAAATAAGTGATGAGGAAGCTGGAGTCTAGAGAGGTAAGTAATTTGCCAGTTTGTGGCGGGGATTTGAACTTAGACATTCTGACTCTAGAACCCGTGTGTTTAACCACTGTGCCATCTGCCCTTCATGGCCCATGGCTTTGTGATATGGTGGGGATTCCCTTCCCTCTTTCCTTTATTTGCACTGAGCGGCAGGTGTTCTCTGACACCCTAGGCTGCTGGTACCTGATCTGGTATTGGTGGAGGTCTGGACTGTTAGGTTTATTTTGATATGGGGGCGTGGTTGGCCAGGTGTTGTGAGGGATGGTTTGGGGTGTCGGGGAGCTTCCTCAATGAGCTACAAATGAATGAGTCCTCAAATGTGTTCTAAGGAAACTACTGCCAGTGTCATTTTGGATACCTCTTTCCTATAGTATGTTTGGAAGCATGTAGGGGATCT